TGTTTAAAAAATGAATCAATCACACACACACACACATATGTACATTTATGATCCTATTTCTTATTACCCCATTGATTCTGTATTCTCTTGAGAATCTAAACTAATACATCAAGCGTGTGCCAAGTGTCTCCAATTGTACCAAGCAGTGTCAGAGGTGTCACAGTATAAAACAGCAGAGCAAAGACTGAAGGAGGCCATCCAATCCTCTGTCTAAACATGGAGGAACTGAGACCCAGAGAGGGCAAGTATCTGGTTCAGGGTCACACAGCAGGTGGAGCAGAAGCTAAGAACGGGAAACATCTAAGACCCTCCATTCAATGTCCGACCCACAAGACAACACTGTAACATTCAATTTAATTATGTGCATGAACTCAAAGAAAAATAATACCAGAAGAGGGTTTTATCGAGCACTTTGGTGCCAAGCTCTACGCTCGAGGCTTTTATACGCTTATTTCATTTAATCTTCTCAGCCACCCTGGGAGGCAGGCATCAGAATCCTCTTTGACAGATAAGTCAAGAGCGGAGAGGAAAAACAGTTCGCCTAGGGCACAGCTGCTGGCTTGCGGGGAGGGGGCGGGGCGGGGGGAGAAGCTCCTGCTCCTACCCTGAATCTGAAGCTCTGCCTGCCTAACGGGCTGCAAGAAAGAGCGGGGCGGCAGGGCCAGAGGGGCCTGGGTCCGTGGGAAAGGGCGACCCTCCCCTCCCCGGGACTGTGCACCCACTCAGCTCATTTTGCTGTGAATCTCTCATTTCTGCAAATGTCTCTGCACCGAAAGGCTTATTTTGAAGGAACACCTGTTCTCTCAGCCTTCCGGCTGACGCTACAATCTGCACGGATTCCGAGGTTATTTGCTTAATGCTCTGGGCTTCTTGGGGGATTTGGATGCACGGCTCCCATGGGAGGCAGGGGAGTGGATTTCATCCTTCGCTTGGCAGCCCTGGCCTGGTGGGAGGGCACAGGGTGGGCACAGGGCTCTGTGCCAGCGTAACTGGATGGGACCCAAATGGAAAACGCACCGGAAAGGAATCAGGTCCTGAAAATAACCCACTGAGCTGAGCTCAGGAAGCAAGTTCACTGCGGAGCACCCACAAATGAGCTCTTTTATCTGACTCTTGTGAAAGACAGGGATGTTTCTTTGATATGCACCTTTTTCCTCCAAAACAGCCAAGAAGAGAATGGGGGGCAAAACTATACTGTCTCATGCTCCTGCTGTGAGTCCATCTCTGCACTGCTTTTACATACGTTAACTCCTGAAATCCTCTCTAAAATATAGGCATTATCCCATTTTAGAGTGGAGGAGCCTGAATTTCCACAGGGTGGAGAGAGTCCCCCATGTCACAGCGTATGGAGCAGAGCAGGTGTCTGAAGCCAGAATCTTCTCTCTGACTCATCAAAGGTAGAGGTCTGGCTGGGTCGTGTTCAGCATCCTCAGATGGAACAGAACTGATGAGCCAGAATGACCTACAAGGTTCCCCACCCCACCCCACCCCAGTCTCCAAAGGCAGCCCCTCTGGGCACCCACGTGTCTACGGAGATGCCCTCACTCTCCTGCCCTCCCCACTTCCGGTCTGCCGCCCTGTAAGGCAAGGAATGCCTGGGCGGCTCAGATCTCTCACTGCTCAGAGTTCTACATGAACACGATCGTGCAATTGTATCAGCCATTTATCCAACACACATTTCTTGAGCACTAAGTCTGTGTACCAGGCACGGTGCTGGGCCCTGGGCATGTGGTGCTGAAGACAACAGCCTCTGTCCCTCGCTGCTCGGAGCCCAATGGAGGAGAGACAGAGATGCCTAGAGCTGACTGTGCAGAAAGCATTTGGGAGAGAGCACTTCTTCCTAGGGAATCAGAGAGGGCTCCCCAGAGGCAGTGGCACCTGAATGAAGCATTGGAGGATGGTCAGAAAGGCATGCGTGACAGTCCCCTCTAGGAAGACACCATATTAACATCCTCACATGCTCGTGTGGCCCCAGCAAAGGCCCTCGTCTTGGATGCTCTGAATTGATTTACGGCCTCTGACGTCCCGTAATGTTTCATGCCACGTTGGGAAAACACTCTGACCTGGAGGTTTCCACGTGGATCTGGGGGTCTGGGGATGCTCTGGGGCCAGCACATGTCAGGGAATAAGAAGCAAGACTGGGTAGGGGGAGAGGCTGAGCTGGGACGTGGTCACAACAAAGGCTTCGGTCAACCCCTGGGAAGTCTGGAACAGGGATGAACCTGCAGGGGTCAGGGGTGACGGAGAAGACGCACACAGCATCCCCCGATGATGGAGGAGGATGCTTGGCCCTGGGGATGCAGAGGAGCAGGAAGTCCCTGGCTTCTATCCCTCCCCACACCCACCCCGGAGCCCTGAAGCCATCTGTGCTCTGGAGGTGACATGGAAACCACCACCCCTGCCGGCTGTAGTCCACTCCCTGTTTCTGTCGCCAGGCCCTTTGTCGAAGCTGAGGACACTGGTTCCTAGATGCTCTGTGGTGGCCCAGGGTCCTGCATCCACAGGAGTCCACCTCAAAGCAGTGCTCTTCGCTCATAGTCTGTTGCTTCCTGGGCACAGAGCCCCGCCCCGAGTTCAGGTCTCCTGCTCCTCGGGAGGAACTTGGCAGCCTTCTCCTTAGCCCCCGCAGTGAGAACATGTGACACAGCAGCATGGACCAGGTGGAGGGACACTTGACTGGGACAGCTTTTTCCACCAGACCTCCTGGCTGGGTCTCACAGGTGATGTCCCAGGAGAGCAAGCCGAGCAGAGGACCCGCCACGCTGGAGGGTCTGGGGACGGGACATGGCTGCACAGGGAGATGCAGCACCTCGGTGGGGGGCTGGCTGAGTGGACGGCCTTTCCCACTTACGACACCTGCTGCATGATGGTTAGCTGTGTGCGCCAACTTGGTATTTGGTTAAACATTATTCTGGGTGTGCCTGGGAGGGTGTTTATGGATGAGATTAACCTTTGAAATAGTGGAATGAGTGAAGCAAACTGCCCTCCCCTGTGTGGCGGGCACTCCCAATCCACCGGAGGTCTGAGTAGAACAAAAAGGCTGAGTGAAAAAGGGTTTCCTTTCTGTCCTTCTTTGCACTGAGACGTCAGTTTTCTCCAGCCTTAAAACTCAGACTCAGATAGACGCTTACACCACTGTCTTGCCCAGGTCTCCAGGGGAGCAGACACGGTGTAGAACCTCTCAGCCACCATCATCGTATCGGCCAACTTCTTGTAACACATTTTTAGTGTAGATAAATCATTTAAATTTATCTTAAAAGATTTAATACAGATATAAGGGAAACACACACACACGTATCTTCTATCTATCTATCTCTTATTGATTCTGTTTCACTGGAGAATCCAAACAAATGGAGTCTGGTTCTTTCTGAGCAGGCTCCTAACAATAACAATTATGTACCAGCTCAGGAGAAACATGGACAGAGTAATGCTATGTGTGCCAAAGCCCCGAGCATCACAGAAGAGTGACAACAGGTGTTTCTTGGGAAGAAGGATCGAGGGGAGGAACAGGATATGCATATTCACTGAGCGCCTACTGAGTACCCAGTACTAGTCTGGGGACTTTACAGCCATTACAGCAATGGATACGCATGTTACCGGGGGAGGTTGTAAGCATTAGCAACCCCACTCTACAGGTGGGAAAACTGAGGCTCTGAGAAGTGAGCAAATGAAGGGTGGAGCTGTGTTTTTAAATGAGCTCAGTGCAGATGGGCTTCTGAGGTGACACACAGTCCAGAGGACGCCCTTTACATCATGTCCCATGACCTCCATGGAACCATATTCTTCAAGGGACCATACAGAAGAGGTGTCGTGTGAAGACGCTATGCCCCGCATCTACCCAGGGGCCTGGCATTAGGCATACATTTGATAAATGTAACCATAACTAAAAGAAGGAATGGATGGACAGATTCTCTCCATGGGACATTTGAAAGGAGCGGAAATCTCATAGAACATACACAGCCTGGAAAGTGAGATTTGCGAGTCTCGGGGCCACCGCCCCAGCACAGACATTACCTCTGAGGAAGTCGGCTTGCAGTATCCGGCTCCAAAGACCAGGTTTTCCAGGGAAAGGCTAGACTGTTCTGGTCCCGTGTCTGGGCCGCCTCTACCCAGCCAGGAGCCTCTTCCTGGACGAGTAAAGCTGAAAAGAAGGGAATTGAAAGAACTGAAAATGTATATAATTTTTCTAAAAGGACATTAAGAAAATGATGGGGCCGTGCAGTCAGCCCCCTGGACGGCGTTATTGGGGAGCCCATGAGACAAGTCATTTAGAAGGCGTAGCTCACCCCTCAGGGGTGCCGGGTGGGACAGTTTTGGATGCCACCATGACACACACGTGGGTGCAATTGGCATGTGAACCCGGGGGCCAAGGATGACACACATCCCACTGTGTGTGCCAGGAAATACTCCTAATGCCAACGGCATGCCTGCTGAGACACAGCGAGGCAGAGCTCCAAGGTCACGTAACCACACGGGCGGACGGCCTGGGCTCCCGTCCAGGCGGGCAAGGGGACGTCCCAGTCCCGCCTCTGCTCCTTTCTTTGGCACAACCTGGAGTGAGACTCTAACCTCTGTCCCCTCCGCGAACCTCCGTTCTGCAGGAGAACGTAAACCAGCGTCCACGGCCATGACCCTCGCGAGAGTCTAGAGGGATCGTGGACTCAAAGGCTGTCATGATGGACGAGGCACTTGCTGTGCCGGTGCTGGCTGCAAATACTGTAATCTGTCCCACAGACAGAAACTCGGACCCTGCCCAGCTCTGCACGCCCTCACAGGACCCCCTGGCGTGGTGTGAGGGCAACCATCCTCTGTAGGATCAGAGGATGTCAGAAAAGCCGTGTGATCTGAACTCATCCCACCTGGGTTTATGATAATCTCCCTCTCCTTTAATCTTTCTGATTTTCACCAACTGACATGTCGGCAAAGTCTACTTGAACTCGTTTTTCCCTTTCTTTCAGACCCCTCTATAAAACACCCTGGTGGTTAACTGCCTTATACTGTGAATGCTATTTGACAGGCCTGTGTTATTCCTCCAGGGAGAGTCACAGCCTCTGATGGCAAGGAGGGTCCTGATTAACACACAGCCTCAGAGGGCACTGTCTCCATCAGAGGTGCCCAGGAAATATCTGTGGAAGGACTTAATTCAAGAGACCCACATTCCAGATTAAAATACGGACAGGGAAATAAAGCTCCCATTACATTCTGGTTTAACCCACTTATTCAAATACTTATCAGGCTGATGCCGTGTGTCAGGCAGCATGTTAGGCGATACGGGGGCAAGGCGGTTAAGGTATGGTCCTTATTGTAAAGGCATTTGGGTCTAGAGAGGGGGGTGGAGTAAACTCAGGCCAGGGAGCGCAGGAGGGCAGTTTATAAACCAGACTGAGTGAAAGGGATGAACAGTTAAAGATGACACATAATCAGAGCATGTTTGGCCCAGGGTTTAAGAGGCAGCCGACGGAGCTGGGCTGCCAGGGTTGAAATTTCAGCGCAGTGTCCTTAAGCTCCGTGGGGAAAGTTTTAAACCTCCCAGTGCCTGTCTTCTCGTAAGTCGGAAGGCTTGATACCAGCACCTGAACAGCGGCTTTGCTGTGAAGATTCCCTGAGCTGGGCCAAGTGCGCCTTCCAGCGCAGTGTCTGGCAAACAGTAACAATTCAATAAACGCGGGTAGTTATTGTCAATAATACCACAAAACAATACAACCGAATCTAGCCATTGTTAGATTTATATAGTTGCTGTTGATAACACCACAAACACAGTCTGGTAGAACAGAATCAATACTCGGATTTGTTTAGCACTGAGATTTGAAGGAAGTCTGCAGCTTAGCTCGAAGGTGGAGAAAAGGAACCGGCAGGAGAAACGCAGACCACGTGTGTGAGCGGCGACGCTCGGCGCGCGGGCAGGGGCAGACTGCAAACTGGTAGCTAAAAGAACTCGTTATTTGACTCAAGTGTGGCCTTGACTAGCTGAATCCCTCAAGCGAAGTCCGTAGGCCCCACGTGAGGGTTAAGCACTGAAGGTTAGACAGACATGAGCCTGTTTCAGGGGAGGCGAAGGATCTTTGGAGGTTAAACTTCAATTTCACACCTGCTGCTTCTTGACTGGGCTTAACAGAGGCTGCTGAAACTGCTTTTCTGGAAAAAACTGGAGCTGGCCCTATCTGACAGGTATTTCCCATAACCTTAAAGGTTCCCTTTGTTCCCAGCCACTGCGAGTGAATTAATAGAAATCCTTCCTGCAGAATCCAGAGAACAGAAGACAGGTCTATTTTTACCCCCATCCCTGGAGAAGCCGAAACTCTGATGGTGAATTACTAACTGAGCTCCTCTCCGGCAAGGTTGCCACAGATAGACTTGCAAAGGACTGTTTCTGTCAGAAGGTTAAACTTTCTACGGAGAGGATCTGAAACGGCCCCATTAGCAAGCGGAGCCCAGGACGGAATCCAGCAGACGGGCACCGTGGCTGGCGAGGGCCTCCAGGACCAGCACCTCCTGTCACGTCTCCTGGCCCGCATCTCATCTCCTTCTCGCTGACCTCTGCAGAGGACGGGGACAGTGACCCCTGCCCAACAGTGAGTGGGGACTGGAGTCTCCCCACAGGCACTTCAGCCCCCCGCACTGAGAAGCGTCCTGTAAAGGGACACTGGGAGAGTTCCCTTCCAGAGCTCAGTGCTGCAAGATTCCATCCCAAAATACCCCTTTGCACACGTGAGCCCACGTGCATGTGGACGGTTCTGAAGTGAGCTGATGCACACATCTGGCCGTGCCAGGTACGTATGTGAAGACATCTGAGCACAGGACAATGTGCTAACTGTTGTCAGCTCTGTGCCCCCAGCTGCAGAATTCCTAAGACGTCAGGGCTTCATGGGGCCGTGGAGACGCTCTGGGACCATTCACTGAAAGGGAGAGCACGGGGCCACTCAGGTGGTCCTGCACTCGAACAAACAGCCACTGGAGGAGGGGGGAGCAAACCGCATGCCTGGCACTGTCCACAAGTGAGAGTCACTAAAACCTTATGTGCACAGAACCCTTTGTGCTCCTGTTTTAGAGATGAAGACTGTATCTCAGGGATGTTAAGTGAGTCCTTAAATAAGGCGCAGCTGGAATAAAAGCCAGGCCACGTACAGTCTCCAGGTCTCATCAGCAGTTTGCAGGTTTTCAGCCCCGAGGTTCCCTACCCATGTCCTCTTAACCCCAGGCGCCCTCCCCACGTCCCTGCCCACCTCGGCCCTGCCCGGCTCGAGGCTCAGAGCTGACATCTTGCGCCTGGGAGAAGCTCCCCTGGTCTGTCCTGAACTCTCCCCACCAGCTCTCAGCACCTCAGCCACACCCAAGACTAAAGCATAACGAGAAACTAAAGCTGCTCCCACACTGCAGGGCCTGTCGCCTCATACCTGATCAGGGGCTGCTGCAGAGCCACCAGGGCAGCGTGGACAGTCACCGAGATCACAGACAGGTGGAAATAGTCGAACATGACGGGGACCTGGTGGTGCAGACCCCTCCGGGGGTGGAAGTGCAGCCGGAGCGCACGGCTGCTGATCACGGGCACCCCGGCCACGTCCCTCAGCCTGGAAGGCAAGCGAGTGAGCTCAGTGAGTGGGGGCGGGCGGGCCTGGCTGTCACCCGGCAGGGCCATCGCAGCCTTGCTCAGGCACAACCCCCATGCCCACATCAGCCTGTTCAACCCCTGCAGATACTCTGCCAGGTAGACATCGCTTTCCCGTGATTGGCAAATGACGAAATGGAGGCTCAGAGAGGGAAAAAGAACTCACAGGACCTTACACCGAGTTGGGACACACACTCTGTGATCACCAACACCAAACTCAACTGTCAGTGATGGAGAGATGCCAGGACGCTCTCCCAGGCTCAACAGGGAAGCCCTCCTGGGCCCCAGCTCCCCGCTTGCTCTTGTATTTCCCCCAGACAACCGCACAGCACTTCCCTTGTCTCTCTGTGTTTCCTGCTAGACTCCTACCTCTCAAGGGCAAGAACTGTGACTAATTCATTTTTGTACCCCTAACTCCAAGCACAGAATGAGGCAGGCTGTAGAAATCAGTCAAGTACTTGCTTATTACAAGGAAGAACTGACTGAACGAACAAATGAGCGCCCCTCCCCCTCAAAGAGGAATGCTTAAAGTGGGAACGGTTTCATCAAGACCCCCCCCGCCCTAGCGTGTGTGTCTGATTCCTGAGAGAGACGCCAAATGGCAGACAAAGTCGACCAGAATCTTTGGTTATAAAAATGGGGTTAATTTTCTCTAAATAAAAGCCATCCAGTGCTCATGTCCAGCTCTGCACACCCATCACTCAGGTGGCCTGGGTGTCCCTCAACCAGAGCACTGGAGAAACCCGGACGGAGCATCTTCCGTGAGCAGAGAGGAGAGCTGAGAAGACGTTCAGGACAGAAACTTCCTCGTCCTCCCACAGATGAGAAAAAGAGACACAGCAAGAAGAAGGAAAGGGGGGCAAGCCCCCAAGAGCCCTCCTAAGGGGTTCTTTTCCTAGAAGCCCTTGTTGCTTAGAGCCTGGATACAAATGAATGGCAGATGAAAGAGCCGATTACGTCGGGGGAGCCCGGTGTGATTCCACAAACAGCCCACAGACAATGGCCGCCTCTCTTTCCGGGAAGAAACGTGATGAAGAGGGACCGTGGGGTGTACCCGAGTTTCAGCGAGTCCTTGACATTAGCACTCACTTCAGTTCTGACAACCATTACTGAGGCCTTCCTATGAACCGAACATGGTGCTTTTGCCCTTAATGCAAATGACAATCACAGAGGTATTAACTGCTGTTACTCATTTCTAGACGGGAAGCAAAGCCAACAGCAGTTAATTGACTTGTTCAAAGTCAGGAGGCAAAACCGAAACGCTCGGCCCAGGTCTGTCTGGCCGCACAGTTTGTTCTGCTTCAAACCCATCAGACGCAGGCTCCTGTGAATCCTAGGAACAGCCTCAGGGGTTGTTGCTTGAGCAACAGGGGGTGAAACACGTGTCAGGGTAGCAAAGATGTCCAAAATGTTAACAAGAATTTAAGCCACTTTAATAGGAGTGAAGAATTCAGAATGAGGGAGGTGATAGCTCTTTGTTGCTCAGGAATGAATAGAGCTAATAAATGGAGATGAAACTCAGTTTGGGGGAGGAGGTCTCAATTAGAAAAAAAAAAGAGAGAGAGAAACCAGACAGCATTGAGAGGAGAATGTCTGGGTTTCTAGAAAAGGAACTAAAACAAACAAACAAACAAATCAAACTAACAAAAAACACAAAATACGAGGAGAGTCTCAGTGTTTAAATGGAGATGAAAAGATGGCTTAAAGCATCTTGTTTATCTGAATCACCATCCAGACTGAGAATCTATGAGTGGCTGCAAGGAGCTGAGGGCAACTGAAGAAAGGCACACAAGCATGACTTGTTCCTTGAAGTAAAGAGGAATTTCCGGACAGGCAGACCTGTCCAGGCACAGAACAAAGATGATGGGGAGGTGTGAGCCCCCGTCCCTGTGTAAACACACGCTCATGGGGCTTTGCAGAGCAGCAGGTTCACATGTGAGGGAAGGCTCGAGCAGGGTTCCTCACCCTCAGTGATACTGACCTTGCGGACCAAATAAGTTTGTTGGGTGGGGTGCAGTCCTGTGCATCGTGGGATATTCCGCAGCATCTGTGGACTCTATCCACGAGATGCCAGTAGCACCCACCCCTCAGTGTAACAGTCAAAACTGTCTCCAGAAATGGCCACATTTCCCTGGGGAACAGGGTCGTCCCAGCCACATCGAGAGCCACTGGACGAGATGGACATGAAGAGCCTTTTCACCGCGATACTAGATCCACATTCTCTATTTTGATCCCGCTCAGGATTACACGGCTCCAAAGAAGCTGACCGCTTGGGTCATGTTCCAAAGCCCAAAGTTTACCCCCAGGATCTGCTACAGATGCCTTGTCATCCTTAAACCCAATTTATGAAAATGAAAAAATATGATGTTTTCAATTCCTCCCCAGCCTCTGGCTTCCTGTTCCTGTTAGCTAATCTCATACTGCATGAAAACGCACAGCTCTGATTGTTATTAAATGCTTTGCACCGTAGGAAGTGACACAAAGAAGCCTGGCCCCCCGTGCATCTAGGAAGCCACGAAGAGGAAGAAGACATCGATCCCATAAGGCCAGGCCCCTGACCTGGCATCACCTCTCTTTAATCTTCATAACAGACCTAGGAGGTACAGGATCTGAAACAATGTCCAGTTATAAATAAGGCTGCTGAGATGTAGAAAAGTGCAGGGATGGGCCCAGCGTCTCACAGTCAAGGATCACAGGCCTGTTGCTGAATTTTGTACACTTTGTCTGGGCCAATCTCTTGGATCCAGCTCCTCCACTGACCACTGTTTTGATGGTAAGAAGGTCACATTCCTTGTGTCCACCATAACTTATCACTGAGGCTGCCTGGAGGGCTGGGTGGGGAGTGACTTCTAGGCTGTTTGGGATTAATGGCAGGGTTCTGTGAGCAAATGGAAATGTCTATTGTGGAGCTATGGATGAACGCCTCTGAGGGAAGTGGGCATAGGGAGATAGGACAGGAGGTGTTAATAAAATTAATAAAATGAGTGAGCGATAGAAATCTCAGATGGTTGAGGGGAAATATGAGAACCACAGAGGCAGGGACTTCACTTCTGAGTTTATAGGTTAGAAAGAAGCTCAGCCTCTTGAGGGGCTTCTGAGTCCAATATGGTGCTAGAACATCAAGTCTTGGGGATGGTGTGAGGAAGATAGGGTTTCTCAAGCATCCACCATCCCACCAAGAGGAAAGCAGAAGTGATGAGAGAAGTAGGTGGGCAGAGGGGCTTGGAGTCCAGATAAACACAAGAGTGAGTAATCTGCGGTGTTGAGCCCCAGACACAGTGGCAGGACCATGGACAGATCCCCCTGCCCACCCAGAGATGAGGCGTGACCATTCACATACACAACAGCAGATGTCTGTTCTCAAAGCACAGACACAATCAGGTCTCTGACATTTCAGTCCATCAGTGGTTCAGATCCCCTCTGATTCAACTTCCCATGTTATGAAAACTCCCACAGCAATCAGACACATCTCAGGGCTGGGACAGTCCTTGAGAGGGAAATGAAAGTGCTAACAGGGACTCTGAAATTTGAAGGGGCTGGGGAACCTTTCCACCCGCATTAGCCGACTGGCCACCTCATCTCCCATTCTCCACTGGAGAACATGGAGCACTTGCTGAAGAGGTTGTTTATAGAGATCAGAAGTGAGGATTAACTTGCAGAAAGTGGTCGGCATGTGCTGAGATTCTGCTAACAGAACAGATGAAAAGTGCCTCCATCTTCACTTTAAGCCCAATGAGGGGAGTCTTTACATGAGCCTACCCCATGTGCCCCAGAACACAGGTCCTGGTGCCCGTCCTGCAAAGGTCCTCAGGAGAGAGGGTGAGGGTGGCTGGGTTGGCTGAAGGAAGAGCGAGCAGCTTGGGCTAGAGCACCTCACCAGTGCAACATGAGGGTAAAAAGTGCTTTTGTCCAATATCCAAGGGCCAGATATGTGTTCCTTGGAGAAGAATCAGCCCAAAGAGCTTCCTGCGAGGAGTGAAGGACTCAACCGTAGGAGGCATCACTGTATCAGAGAACTGCAGGGGCTGAGGGAGAGGGGGACTGCCACAGGGGTGTATCTGCAAGGAATGCACAAGAACACCCCAAGAGCAGAGAAAGCAGGATTCTGCACCTGCCCTGCGAGGAGTCGTGCTGGCAGCTGAACCCATCGCTTACAGCTCTTTGCCTCTTCTGCAAGCTCCTCCCTCCTCCTTGCGCCTGACCCTGCAAGGCCCACATGCCCCAGGGGGAAGGAGGCACGAAGCTCTACAAAGCCACTCAACATACCCTGTTGCTGCACTGGGGGTTCCCTACTCTGGGGCCAGGAGGTGGGGTGCAGCAGAGAAAGGGGGCAGTGCGAATGAGAAGAAGTTATAAATCGGATGAGAGTTTGGGGTTTGGGCAATACATTCGACTGAACTTTTTAATACCTGAAAAAAACATGACCATCTATTTATTACACGAAATAACACAGGAAGGCTCCATGACCTGATGGTTTACCCCGGGGGAGGAGGAGGAGGAGGCCTCAGAACAAGTTTAAAGGAAGCAGTTACGAGAAAAAAGAGCGCTGCTTCCGGCTGATTTAATCAGCAGGTTACACCCTAAATGGATTTCCAATTTTCAGAGAGTTGAAATACAATAGCGGATATTTAGTAGAAGGATGAGGATTCTGGCAGAATCTCCTTGATTCTGAAGGGGTCTTGAGGTTTGCAGCCACATAAGGTCATTAATCTAAAGACCTAATGAGTACTGCAATGGAGGGGTCAGACAGGAGAAGTTACCAGGTAACACATTCAGGAGGTCAGGGGTTTTCTGTGCAAGCCGCATTCGAGCTACCCGCCTAAACATGCATGCAGCTTGAAATGACCGCGTATTCCTTGCCCACATATCTGAGCACTGGAGGGACACTGCAGCTGATCAGGACCTGGGCTTCTGAGGAATGTTCGTGGCCAGGGGGATACCCCAGGTCTGGGGAAGGGCTGAGCAGAAGAAGGTGCACTATCACCACCCGAGGGCTCCAGGGCCACTCACTGCTGCTCGCTGTCCGTGAAGTGCAAGTCCACCTTGAGCTGGAAATCAACTTCACTTAGCGCCTCTTCCACCTAGAGGAGAAGCACAGTGTAAGGATTGCAGACGTCAAACCTAGTCCAAATGAAACAAAAAATAGCTGGTCTATTTCCCTAAGTTTAGAAAAAGAATCTCACCACCAAATGAATGGCATTTACGTGTAAAGCGGAATTCCGGCGCGTGTTCTATGGAATTCCGGTTGAAGAGGGTATCCGTATTACATGCAAATTAGAAGGAAGGGATTTCCGTAGTGAAATTTGGGGAAAAGCCAATTTGCAAAAAAAAAAAGTTAAAGCAAGTTTTCTATTTCGTAGGACTTTTGAGGACCTTATTTCCCATACAGGTTTGATCTGGAATCCTTTTAAGCAGGAGTGAAGCGTTCCATGGCACCGGCTTTGGAAAGGGTGGAGCAGCGAATCTGCATAGAGGAAACCCCACATCGCCAGAGATGGGATAACGGTGCAGGTGAGGTTACTTCAGGCACCTTCACCTCCTCTCCTTCAGGTTCACGGAGGAGAAAGCTTTATGCTCAGGGAAGTGAAGTCATTTCCCAAGATGGCTCAGCTGCACAAAGAAAGCTTGTCCTTCATTTCTGTCCTGAGATCCATTGCCTTTAACCATTTATGCTTCAAGATCTTCAGCATTTCATGTCCTACCCATGGCTATTTCCATTTTTAGCTTTTTTAAAAAAATCTGTTTTCATTCATTAGCACGGGAATTTATTGTTCCACCTGCCAGCTTCTCACGTGCATCTAAAAGACGGTAGCCCCCAGTCTTCCTTCCTGCACTAAACACATCACCGCCACCTCCAGGGGAGGCACTTGCTAAATTCCAGAACTCGCTTCTGCCCCTAACTCCGGAAACCCAGGTAAGTAACTGCCCCCCTGTGACAGGACATCGTCTCCTCCCCACTCCCAGGCTGGACGCACCTCTTCTCCTATGTAATACACAAAACGCTGTTTCGTCCATCTTAACATTCGATGCTTCCTATAAAATTGTTTCAGGTTTATAACCTGACAGCCCATGAGATAAATATGATCTGCAGCCATGTTTCGTTTAGTCCTCATAGTATTTTTTTTAATGTTTTAAACAAGGAGCAAACATGTGAAAATCAGGCAATTTCACATTCCTACTGCAGGTTTCCAGCTTCTGAAAAAACAGGCCCTGCATCTGGCCATGCTGTACTGGCATTCCAAAGCTGCATTTGAATCGGGCTCATGAGACTCAGTGACAATACCCATCCGGCCTGTGGCTAAATCCCCCTGGCCCTCTCCTGCCTAGTGTCCCTGCAATCTGGTGTCATTAAGGAGAGACTAGTCTTAACCACTCCGGTCCCCCAGCGCCAGGAATAGCACCTGCCACATAGAAAGTATTCCTGTGTCTTGAAGAATAAATAAGGCTCCTCTCCACGCCCACCTCTTGGTTGGTTTCTGTTTCTTTGCAAGAATATCCTCATTCTGGAGGGATGGAAATCTCTTAGCCAAAGGCCTCTTTGGAAACATGTTCCTAGTGAAGCATAATTCAGGCAGAGACATATGGATGGAATTTATCTTTAGCTCCCCAGGGTTTTAAAATTTGTTTAAAAAATTTTTAAGCATTTGAAAGTTAACATTTTGCTGAATCCAAGTGCTATGAATAACTTCCTCCCCGAGCTTTGTTTTGCATAATCATGAACCCAGCTTCATACACACCACCCAAGCAACACAGACTCCTGACACCAGTTTCTGGGCAGTGAGACTAGCAAAGCCAGCCCTCCTAGCCACCTCGGAGCATGCATTTGCCTCGTTAACAAACATCCACGGTAGGCTCCCATTTTCAACTTGCTGCAATTTCTTTGGAACAAGGAGAGAAAGCCAGGCCCGGGACAAGCTGTGGCTAGATTGAGCCTGGCTACGAATTCATTGATGTCTCAGTAAATCTTGAATTGCAAGATGCTCCGGAATGTGGTCCCTGGTTTCTCAAATCACTTATTTCACTGCTGGCTGTTGGTTACCCACCCCTCCCTCCATACACACACACACACACTCACACATGCACATACACACATTCACACATGCACACACACATGCACATATACACATTCACACACACATGCAGACACTCACACATGCACATATACACATGCACACACACACGTACACACACGCGCACACACACACATGCCCTTCCAGTGCCCTGCCTTGTTTTGATTAAAGAGATTGTTTCCTTTCAAGGGTGGGTTTTTAGCACCAGGCATCAGTTTTGTAGAATAGTGGAAATACTAAGAGTAGCTAGTATTTACGGAAGAGTTCCAGTGTAGGACGCTGCATACGACAGTGACCACTGTCCCTACGCTATCTTACTTAATGTGGATAAGCCTGTGAATTAAGAAAGAATGTCCCACAGGAAGCAAACTTACAGATACCAGGGGCGAAAGCAGGTGGGAAGGGGTAAACCGGAAGTTCGGGGTTATTTTCTGTAACCTGGTCCTCCTCCTCCTCGGTACGGTAAGCATCTTGTTGCTAACAACCATATTTCCTCCGCCTGGGCTGTAGGAAGCTCAGCACTGAACGTGCAGGCCACCACCAGCAAAGGTCCAGAGCTACGCCTGCGCCTTCATGTTACATTTAACTCAGGTTTTAGTTCCCTTTTGTGTTTTTCCTCTACTTTGGCTCATTCTACTGCAATTTTTTTTTCTTGTACTAGTCTATGTATTTTATCAGCCTTCCCAAATCTTCTGGTGGGGAGAGGTGGCTCACAAAGTGTATATAAATAAAATACCCAAGCTACTCCACAGTTCCTTAAGGTCTGCCACTTCTAATTTTTTTATTTTTTAATTATCATTTTTGAAGTATAGTCAGTTTACAATGTGTCAATTTCTGGTGTACAGCATCATGTTTCAGTCATACATATACATACATATATTCCTTTTCATATTCTTTTTCATGACAGGTTACTACAAGATATTGAATATAGCTCCCTGTGCTGTACAGTAAAAATTTGTTGTTTATCTATTTATTTATAGTAGTTAATATCTGCAAGTCTCAAATGCCTAATTTATCCCTTCCCACTCCCTTTCCCCCCCAGTAACTATAAGTTTGTTCTCTATGTCTGAGTCTGTTTCTGTTTTGTAAATAAGTTCATTTGTGTCTTTTTTTTTTTTGTATTTCACGTGTAAGTGCAGGATGGCTCTAAAATCACGTCCCGACCTGTCAGATCTCAGAGCCGATCTACAGCTCCTCCTTCCCTTCCCGTTTTCCAGGCAAAAGGCACCAGGAGGGATCGGCGAGGCGGGGCTGGCGGTCGACGCCACGACTTACCCTCTCACCGTCTAGGAGCAAGTGAGCGCGGAAGACCACGGCATCATTTACGGGCACCTCCTCGTTCCTGTATAGGATCTGAAAGACCCGGCTGTGCACGGTGCTCTCGTGGACGCAGGCTGAGTGCAGGCTGCCGCCGTCTGCAAAACAAGCACCAGCAGGAGCCCGTGAACTCCCGGGCTGCCCTGGACCTGGCAGCCTGCTTGGGGGTCAGCCCAGCTCAGGGAAAGCAGTGGCCCCGAAGTGCATCCCAATTTCCAAAGCTCAAAACCCACAGGTGAATGAGATTCCATCATGTAAGATTTATGTTCAGTGAATTGCGCTGGCCCCTCAGAAAGAACCATGTTCAATCCTTTCTAAATCATAGGATCATGGCTAAGTCACTTCATATGCAGAGGGCGTCGCTCCTTGGCTGAAAATTAGTACCTGCTAATTCTTCACCTGCTCACACCTTCCCCTCCCTGTGCAAAGCCTTCCATCACCCCACCCCACCCCCCGCCTCCTGGAAATAATGAGAAAAGCACAGAGGTAAAGACAGAAATTGGTCTTTCTTCTACAAGGACGTCCGAGTGCCCACAGAACCTCTCTCTACTGAACAGTGTTTTCTGCATATCATACAGGAGACAAAGGACACTCTGTCTTGAGTTTTAGGTAAACGTGCTTGTTCTAATTATATCAGAGATCCAAGTTTTTCAGCAACTTGTTCAGCTCCACGTTTTCCAATACATTCTCAATGTACCCTAATCCCCTAAACATTGTCCTAAAGTTGAGTTGAACTTGGAAGATGCATCTACCCACTGAGGTTGAGACCTTCCTGCATCCGCTGACCAGGGTTACTGTGGAGAGTTAATGGGCAGATTCCTCCAAATCACTTAACACACAAATTGTACAGCTGGAAAAAATATAGAAATATTCTAAAATAAATAATGCTAATATTTATATAATATAAGGCAAGGATTTCCTATTCATAATAATGGCCAACGATGTGGTATTCCACAACTTCCTAAGTGCTTTTCTAATGTGTTTCTTTCCTTAATCGTCCTAGAAAATTGCTAGGGTAAGTTTTACCGCAGATGAAGAGACCAAAGCTAAAAGGAGAGGAGGCAGGTGTCGTGATCACTGCTATGTGACTGCTATGTGACGAGGCATTGTGTGGCTTCACCCTCACATCCACCTAACTAACAACTGGAAAGGACGTCTCAGGTGAATAACTGAAATGCACCCATTTCCTAGCAAGAGGCAGGAAACTACAAAGCCCTTCCGAAAACCTGAAATAGCACGATTGCCAAGGGAGCTGAGAAAATAAGAAAAACCGGCCTAACCAGCAAAGGGAAGCTGCTTAAGTGCCTGGTGCACTGTCCCCAGACGGCTCACACAGTCCCTTGGACACAGGGACAGAGGGTCGCTGTCACCTTCCGATGCACAGTGACGCCTGGCGGCTTCAGAGCAAGGGAAAAGAAGTGCAAAATCCCAGGTGGTTTCCAACGCTGCTCAGATGTGCCTGCTCTAATTTGCACTTCATCATGAAGGAAATAAAATGACTGGCCGGATGCAGCCCTGTTTAGATCTGTTGGCTTCAAATTGATGTGGCTTTTAAGCAGAAGTGATCCTTGTGTGCAAATGCCTTCCTGTTCTATTTGCTGCACCAGCCCTTTCTCTGTCACTGTCAAGGCCTTGGTTGATAAATAACCCAGACTGACGACGTGGCAGAGGATGGATGGGGTAAATACTCTGAAGGTTAGAGCAACACTGAGCCATCTAGTACCTGGAGGGACAGCCAGCCAAACAGTTCCGTCACTTGTCTTCTTGGGCAAATGACATCATGCCTTGTAACAGCAGTTTTCCACATGAAAAAAAAAACGGGTATGACCACACTGACTCCCTGGGATCAGGGGAGACATGAAAATAAAATAAATCAAGATCTGAAGACCAGGCACGTACTAGGCATGCAAAATGCAGTAGGATGACTTTTGAATTGTGTTTAGAAAAAGGTCTTAGCACTTTCTGTTGAGTACATTTCTGCGGGCCACCTATCGACGGGAGATTGAGCTCCTCTGACTTTGAGCGGATTGACAACCTACATCACGGGACTCAACAGTATTTGCAGAAGGTCATCACAACCCAAGGTGCCCCATGAAGCCCAGGATGAGGCATTTCTGATGCCCTAGGGGACCTTCTGTGGTATTTCCTCATCACTATTAAGTAGGACATAAAAGAACTGTGCCTTCTGCAAAGGAAGGTTCACTGAACAGGAGACACCCTCCTGGCCTGAGGGCATCACTGGGACGGCACCTGGCTGCTTTGTCCCCACTGGGATTCTCCCTTCTTCAACACAGTAGTCCATGCTTGGACACCTTCCTCATCAACCTGGGTCCCTCTTCCTGGCACCCAGAAGGAAATGTTCCTTTCTCCTCCTTGGCCAGGCCACCTCCTGAACTTTCTATGACTGGCTCTCTGCTCATTCTGCAGAGCCGTCCTTGGCCGACAGAGGGCGCACATTCACATCGTGTGCACCCTCACCCTCCTCTCTGCACCAGGTGCTGGGCACCCAGGGGTGAGGGCAGTACCCACTCTCTCCATCCTTAAGGATCTTGTTCATACTTTGAAAAGTTACCCTTTCCAGGGTGTGGGGGTAAAAAGCAACTCTTCTCTTTGGACCGTTTTTACTCATTGCGTGTTGACCAGGTTTTTACCTGGTCCAATGGGACCCAAGTGGTCCAATGGGAAGGTGCAGATCAGAGTCTTCCCCAACATCTGTATATATCAGGGTTTTGTATATATCAGGGTTGACACCGTGCGTAAGTATCATCTGAAAGGAGAGTCAGAACTTTGAGGGAAAACAAGACGAATGGAAAGAAGGTGGGAGCAGCCCGAGAAGGGACAGGAAGGAAGAGGGGGGAAGAGGAGGAGAGAAAAGAGAACAGGGCTGAGGAGGGAGAGGAGTCTTCAATGGCTCCCACTGTCCAAAGAGTTCATTTCAAACAGTTTAATCTGGAATTTCAGGCCGGAGAGCAAGAGGAAAGAAACTTTGAGGTTCTGCTGTTTCTTTTCCCCAAAATGTGTGAGGTCAGTACTTTGCATATTGATGCATCTCTCAGTGTTTACAATTCAAGCAATGACCTTCCCTCTGCTGAGACTCTCCTCCAGCCCCAGAGGACTCTGAGCACAGATCACGAAGCACAGGTGGTATTCATGCGACATGGACCCCCTGCCTCACAGCCCACGCCAGAGCACCTTCATGAGCTATGGATTGCACCCACTCCCATTCCAAGAACACAGCCTTGGCTCTGTCTGCACGCAGGAGCTCCCCAGAGGATCAGGTTTGTGCTAAGCAGTCAACACTCTGGGGGGCCCCTCCAACCCGCCAGGCCTGAGGACAGCTGGGCAAAGTCTGGGCTATTTGAAAATGAAGATGCTAAGAAGCTATCCCAGGATTTCTTCAAACTCAGGCCACATTCACATGAGAGAACCTTCCAAAACATTAGAGTTCATGGAAGTGGAAAAAACCAAGTTAGATTACGAGCAACCCAACGTCCGGACCTTGGATATTTTTAGGAACAGGACCTCGTTTAATAAAGCAAAGACGTATGTTCTAGAACTTGCCCCACCACTTTTTCACTGTATGGCCTTGGGCAGGACGGTAAATTGGGCTTAAATGAGACAAGAATCATGCCCTGCTTATGTTACATAAATGTGAGGCTCCGATGAGATGAGGACTAAAGAAGTATGGGTTCAATGTGAAATTCTCAAAACTCAAGCAGATTTCCTGGTAGGATGAAAATGATAAGGATGATGACTCTTTACACTAGATAATTTTCTGGCCATTTCGAGGAATAGGAAGGACAGAAAGTCACCTTGAAGCCAAGCTTTATTGTTGTTTCTAACCATTTCAAAGAAGAGGAAGAAGAAAAAGCCCCCTGAAGCTCAGTTTTCGCAGAGCAGGACCACAATGATGTCCAGGATCATATGAGCAGTGTCTGACTGGAAAGACCAGCGAATGCTCACTGCCAGGGTAGAGAGGCATGAAGTGACCTTCTGTGATTCCACCAAGGCTGCTACCTTCCCCAGAGACCTTTTCCCAGGAGTTCAAGTGGAACAGTCTGCTTCGAGAGAGCACGAAATCCTGGGATCCCAGGGACGAAGGTCTCGGTGACTTCTGGAGTTTGGAAGTTGGGGAGACTGTTAGACTGTGACAGACTTTTTCTTGATGCAGGAGGTATTAACATACCATGTGGATCAGGCATGAAAAACTTGTTCCTGGAAAGAGAAGCACCTTGAGGAAAGCTGGAGTCCAAGATGATGACTGGACGTTCCCCACGACCAAAGGGTTTACAGGTAGAAGGCAGATATGGTGTCACCGTGAGCTGATAAGTTCTGTGGACCCATCTAACCTGGCGCAAAGGCTGTGCTTTGAAGAGCCACATCTGGGTATGTGAGTTCCACCTGAAGAGAAACAACCTGGGTTTCTGAGGCTGGTGCCCCCGAGGCCCCCGTGCGGATGCCTGCAGAAGCAAGTTCACCATGGAGAGGGCATCTGTGTGGCCACGAGAAGCCCCCAGAGCAAGGACTGATCAGACCCAGCTTTCTCCTAGCCTGGCATTCAGAAAAAAACCCCGTTCCACTGTGGAATCCCAGAACTTCCTGGAAAGTATGAGGTGGGGGAAGCAGGTTGGCATTTCTGTCCACAGGGCATTTAGGGACACAAGCCCTTTTGTGGACCATCTGAAGAGATGTCAATATACTTGCACCTTCCACTTCCGAAGCATGTCAGATTGATGACACATCCATAAAGAGCTGCATTTTAGTTGTCGGGTGATTGCCATCTGAAAGGATGTCACATGTCTTTCTTACTTTCTACCGAAGTACCCATCCATGCATGGAATATTGACTACTTTAATGCACATAAACATGAGTGTATGTCTTATTCACAATCCCAAATTAATATGTTTCTGTGGTTTCTGCTATAACATATATTAATTAATTCATTAAGTTCTTATTAATCACCTACTATGCATCAGGTCATAGGCAAAAAGCTGGGGCCCAGTCCTCTGCAATCACAGGGCTCCTGGGGGGCTGTGTCTGTCTGCAACGTCTGTCCGTGGAGTAAGGACGAGGAGTCCCTCAGTCTTTCATCTCCACA